CCCCCCGCCCGCCTGCCCTGGGGCTTCTACTCCGTGCTATAGGGTCACCATGGGTCAGACTTGAGCTGATGCCAATGGGGCTATCTCTGCCAGCTTTCCCCCAGGGGGCATTTAAACAACGCTGACCTTGAAAGTGACAGCGAGCATCGGCTTCTGGAGAACGGAACTGGAAAGGACCAGCATGGGGGCACAGAAAGCAGCCAGGCAGCTCAGGGCAGGGCTCCAGTGGCTCGCTCCCCTGACCCTGAGGCTGGAGCAGGCCAAGCAGCACATGGCAGGATGTGCTACAGTGTCCCCTCCACACTGCGGGTTCTTGGTGTGGCCTCTATCGTCTCTGCCAGCAGCCTTGCCGCAGAAAGGCTGCTCAGAAACAGCAGAGCCTCAGGAGACCTCAGCAGCCCGCAGAGGGAGAGCCCTGGGGGCAGGTGGCGGTGCCTGTCTGCAGGCGGTGGGCGAGGCCTTCGGCTGGTACCTGGTCTAACTCAGCTTGAGCTGTCCCTTGTGCCTGTCTGGGCTGGCCTGTCACCCTCACTCCAGGTGTGGGACCCCAGTGACGGCAGTACTCAGGAAGCAGAATTCCCAGGCCTGCCTGAGGGGATGAGAACACACTTCTCGAGGACTTGGAAGGGGTGTGCTCCGAATGCCCAGCTTGCACTAAGTCAAGGAGCGGCCATGAGCCTCCTAATGCAGGCTGCACCCAGGAGAGTGGGGCAGCCTGTGATGCCCAGCTCGGCCCCAGGACGCTGGGGCAGGGGCTGCTGATCACACACAGCCTCGCCTGCCACAGCTGTGGGCACAGACCCAGAAGGTTCACCTTATGGGATGAGAAGCCCAGGGGCAGCGGCAGGTCTGCCTTCCAAGCACAACTCCTGGCCCTCTCAGGCCCCCCATGTCTAGCAGGCTTTTTTAGCCCTTGGCTTTAGTGTGCAGTGCAAACCCAGAGCCTGCCGGAGCTGCAGCTTAGACCCTGAGAGGGGGAGCAAGCCCATGATGCACTGCTGGTGAACCACACGCTCCAAACCAGAGCTGTCCAGGCAAGCCCGAGGGCGTTGGGACCCCGACCCGGAGGTGGAGAGCACACCCCTCCAAAGAGCTCCTTACTCCCCAGGGCACTGAGCCCAGCTGGACTCTTGGGTCACCAGACATGATGGCTTGGCCGCAGAGTGCTAGGCAAGGGTTCTGCATGCTATCCTAATGTGCAGGAACCCGTACGACTAGAGTCAGCAAGCAAACGGGTACGGTGGCTGGGACTGTGACCGACTCCTGTCAAAGGACTCATTCCCGGCAGTGGCCCGTGCCTGTCAGGCCTTACCCCGCCCACTGGCCCCCGGCTGTTCATCTGTCTCAGAGGTAGTAGCATAGTGCTCGTGGTGGAGACCCTCAGGACGCCTGCGGGGATGAAGGTGGGGCAGGGCCCAGCCAGGCTTCACCAGGCAGGTGTCGAGGCTGCTTGTTCCAGCCCACCAGGCCCTCAGGGCCACCGAGGCGGAACCACAGAAGCAGAGGAAGCAGGCTTTGTCGAGGGGAAGGTTGCAAGGGAATGAAAGGCAGGCTTTGTTTTTTAAAAACCATCCCCAGGCCTCGGTCTCACTGCTCCCCTGGAGCCATCCCTCTCCGAGGTCCCATGTTCACTTTTGACCTGCGGCTGTTTCTAGGCCCCTCGCCTGGGGCAGGGCGCTCAGGTGGCCCCAGAGGGCCTTGCCCTGAGTCCGGGTGCACGTGCGCAACATTTGGCCTTACCTGCCACTGCCGATGGATGGGAACGCAATGGATTTCAGCTTCTTATCGTCTGCCAGGGCCAGGCAGTTTTTCACCGTCTTTTCCAGGAGCTCCTCGCATTTGTCGGCGCCCCAGACTGGGCTATTACAGTGGATCACAAACTTGGCGGGCAGGCCGTGGCCGGCACTGACAGCAGCTGCAGCAGACAAGACTGGCCGTGAGCTCTGCCCTTCTGTGAGGCACATGGCCATGGGCCACCACACACTGACCCGACCTCCAGCCCCGGGGGAGGTGCATAGCTCTGAACTAAGGGTTGAGGTGTGGGAGTGAGCATTTTGATTATGCTGGGGGTGGGGGTGGGGAGGGGGGCATTCAGGGCTGCAGGGCTGAGCTACAGAAACCTGAGCCTGGGGGAATCATTTGCTCTGTAGGAAAGTTAGTGTTCAACTATGCATGGACTGTTGGGGGGGGGGGCAGGGGGAGCACATTAATAGGCATTGGGTGGCTCACTGCAAGGTACAACACCCCCCCCAGCTGTTCATGTCTGCTCCCGAACGGGTTAAGTCTCGGACATGATGGATAGGGTGTGCCTCACCTGCTCTATACGTTCAAAAATAGTTAACACAGCAGTTCTCAACGTGTGGGTCGCGACCCCTTTGGGGGGGTCCAATGACCCTTTCACAGGGGTCGCCCGATTCATAACAGTAGCAAAATGGCAGTTATGAAGTAGCAACAAAAATCATTTGATGGCTGGGGGGTCACCACCACATGAGGAACTGAGAACCACTGCCTTTAAACGTTCTCTCAAACAGCTCTTACACTCGAGGTGAGACATGTATTCAATGTATTAAAGTTAGGGGAGGAAAAGACCGACAACCCGGAAACCAGGCTCCCTGGAGGTGGGCGGGCAGGATTTACCTGCAACACCACGGCCAGCTCCCGGCAGAGCACGCGCGGAGGGTCCCTGACGGGGCTCACCTGGGCCTGACTGGGAAGCGCCGACGGGAGGACCTGAGCTGGCAAGGGCAGAGCTGCAAGGCCGGGGCTCTGGCTGTGCACTCAATGCCCACAGGTCTCCCTGCACACGCTGGCTTCCGTGGGCCTGGCTGGGGGACCACGCAGCAAGTGGCTCCCCACCTCCCACCGTGCCGGGCCCCCCACAGAAGAGAGCAGAATGGGCACAGACCAGCAAAGGGCATGCCGACCTCCCGTGCGTGCCACAAGCGCTGAAACGAACCCAAGGAAGGAAGCATGGCCATGGGGAGGGGGCAGATCTGAGGGGGCCTCCGGCCAGCTCACCCTTGGGCTCTGGGAGAGGACTTGCATGACGTAGTCAGACCCAACTCATGAGCCGTTTTTAAAAGAGACACAGGATGTGAGAGGGAGGCGGCCGACGTCTGTCACTCTCCTGGACACGAGGCTGCCGGGGAAGTGGGCCCTAACGCACAGCCCTGGACCCCTTCTGGCACCCCAACTGCCACCTCCCAGCCCCAGTGCCCAATTCAGGCTGCATCAGTGGGTAAAAAGAGCCTCATCTCGCCCGCATGAGACTTTAAGTCAGGTTTTCTCTTCTGCTTTCTCTCAGGAAAGGGGTCCTTGGCAAATGGGAAGTGTGTACTTACATTGGTCCGATTGTAAACGCAGATAGGGCTGGGTGCAACCTTGAACCTGCACCTCCCCACCCTCTCCCTCAGGTTGACACACTGGGTGCCAGGAATTCCTTAGCCCCTGAAGTCTAGACACCAAACAGTTCAGAAGCTGATTTACGTGGTGAAATAAGAAAACCCATTGGGAAAGTGATTGCCCTGCCCTCAGCCACCCTGACAGTGTGCGTGTAGGCCTAGGTTGCCTGGCTAGGGGCTGCCCTTGGCCTCCTCCCTGGGCCTTGCTGCTCATGGTCTGCTTTCTCTGACTGCAGCTGCCGGCCCACCCCCCCCACCGACCACTCACCCACCCCCTCGCCAGCGAGCCTCACCGCCAGCGACTTCCAAGGGCCCGTTCTTTTTCCGGAGCTCCAGAACCGCCTCCACAAACTCCTTGCCACCTTTCTTCTCCAGGGTGTTTCCTAGACAAGGACAGGGCTAGGTCAGGTGCCAGCCCTGCGTCTCAGGCACACAGACACTTTAAGCATGTCAAGGGGCTACATATTCCAAAAGATGGGGCCTGGCTCAACCTCCAAAAAGCTACAGAACAGGAACTGGCCCTGGGCTGAGTCAGAACAGTCGGATTTGGAATTTAAAATGCTCTGCCTTGCTGTCTCTGCTGCCCCTTCCGTGGGTCCACGGCCTCGGAGGGTGGTTCTGGATGGGCAGGAGACCGGAGGGAGACAGATGGCGCCTGTTGTTTGCACCCATGCCCGGCCTGCATGCTTTCTCACTGTCGAGAGAAACCAGGCGGTGCTGGCTCCAGAGGCTAAGGCCTCCCCCGGGTTTACTTCTCTGCCTCCGGGGAAAACCCCCAAATGAGGTGGCTGTGGAAGCAGGGCTGGTGCTCCTCTTGGAGGGAGCCCCAGGCACAAGCAAATTTCTTGTGGCCACCTCTGGGCCAGTGTTACCTCCGTGCTTAGTTCCTGTTTTGTAGCTTTGGTGTCTGAGGTGAATTTATTTTCAAACGAAAAGCAAAACAAAACAAAAAACAGGGCCTCGGACAATGAAATTTTCTTAATTACGGCAAGAATTTGGGTAAGAGAGAGCAACGTCAGAAGCAGAGCCTGAAGACGGACCTGGGTCACTGCGAGGTGCCAGACGAAAGGAGCCCATGGCTCAGGGCCGGATTTTAAACAACTACGAAAACCAGTGAGCAGAGGCGGGGAGTCGGCCTTCCCTGAATCGGTGACCTGCTCAGTAGCCAATTTCTGCTCTCAAAGGCAGATGCGTGAATGAGCTGACCCACATCGAGAAAGGCTTTGGATTAAAGGCATCTCACACGGGGCGGTGGTCGGTGACGACCTCATCCCCTGCAGGGTGGACAGGACGGGGTCTAGTCCTTCCTTAAGCTCTGGTTCCTCGGTCTTCCACCTTTTGAAGTGCTTTTCCTCGGGAGAGGGCGAAATGCTCCCCTTAAGATCCACCACATGCCTCAGGCAATTCAGTGTGCACCTGGCACAATTCAGAGACTGGCAGCCAGGGGCACAGGGAAGTACCAGCCTGAGTTCTCGAGTTCTCTGTGGACGTGCCCTGTGAGGACGGGGCAGTGGCTCTCAGAGAGTCCGGCCCGCTCCCATGCCTGTTCTGCGTGGGTGAACTAGCCCAGGGAGGGATCTAGAGGGAGAAGCAGGTGGCCTGGGCAATCAGCTGTCTGTCTGCTGTAGGCATAGGACCCGCAGCAGGCCCCACCACCTGTAGGGTGTGTTCAGAGGCCCAGAGAAGGCTGGGCTTTCAGACAGTGGCTTAGGGCCCTCAAGGTGGGCACTGGTAGCCCTCCCCATTGCCCAGCCTGCCCAAGAGCAAAGCAGGATTTAAGTGGCAGAGGCTGTCCTAAGGGAGACTCCACTCATGGAGACATCCAGCCGCCGCCGCTGCTGCTGCTGCTGCCGCTGCTGCCGCCGGGGTCTGGTCAAGCTATGCCGCAGGCCCTGGGGATGGCAGCGGGGCATCCGTGTGCCATATCCACCAGGAAGTGGGGAATTTGAAGGTAACTAGCCAGGTGAGACCCAAATACAGGTTCACCCCGACGGACCAAGCAAAAGCAATGTGGGTGGGTGGGTGTGTCACTTGTTGCCCTAGCTGAAGGCTGACGAGCCTTCTTCCCTCTCTGCTCAGCCTCAGTCAGACAGAGTGGGCGGGCCGGCCACGGAAGGCCTTGTTTGCTATGTGAGCTACTCTCTGGGGGTGGGGTGGGGGGGACGACTAGAAGTTTTGACAGGAAAATTAAAATCAGTCCCAGATTAGTGCTCGCCCGCACTTTCTAAAACATGGATTTGTTCTTAGGAAAATGGGCTGGTTTGTAATTAGAGGTGTTTTATCTTAGGAAGAGTGTTTACTTTAAAATATTTTTTGAGACTTGTAATTAAAATGTTGCTTTAATTAGAAGTGAAACTTGCAAGGTAAGATACACTTATAGAGACATGTCCCAAATTTAAAAACTCCACCCTAGGTTGCAGGCAACCAACCCAGTCAGGACTGGACTCCTACACACACATATGTACGCACATGTTCATGTAGACACACGTGTACTTTTTAACAAGAAACAGGCCCATTTCAACTGGCTTGTCAACACTCTTAATATAAGACTTGCTTTTTAGGCTTAACTTCAGGGTTAATCATAAAGCAATTGGCTCATTTGCCCCCAAGCATAAACATGTGTTACTCCCATGAGAATAAGAACATTATTTCATGCTTAGAAAGCAGGCATAGGTATCAGTGTTCAAAACAGCCTGAGCGAAAATGTAGGCTTGGACAAATGTCAGGCGAAGCCTGTGGTCTATTTCACTGTTAGAAAGAACTTTGGATCGGTCAGAGTTAATCACGGGCTAAGCATTCCTGCACTGGCATTCCTCTTCCAGCAGTCTCAGGGCTCGGGAATTCACACCGAGCAGGAGATGGAGCTGGCACTCCAGTTCCTCCTCACGTCCTTCCCTCCCCCTCTAGTGCAGCCACGTGGGAACAGGGGCCAATTGAGATCCCGTCTTTGGGAGACACGGCAGTATCTGGGTTCACTCCTGGTTTGGATTGGTTCCTTGGGCAGGGGAAAAAACACCGAGGTGGGCTTTGGGAGGCCTGGGTTCTGGTCCAGTGCCCAGTCTGGCCTCCTCCCTGTTGGTGGGGAAGTCTAGACCGGCTACGGTCTCTCCTGAGGCAGACAGCCTCCTGGCTGGTGTGTGGCAGAGCCCGGGCAACCTCTCTGCCCCAAGGAATCATCTGTTTCCGGGCAGCTCAGAGGGTGGGTGAAGAACACAAGCTCCGTCCTCATTTCAGGAAGGACTGTGGCCTTGCCTGCTACTACCCTCTCCCTTCTGCCCAGGGCAGTTCAGAATGCCCACTTCACCAAAGATCCTGGAGGGCAGCATGAGCCCAGGCCTAGTCACTCCAGGTCAATTGTTTACCTTTCCCCAGATAAGAGTCCCTCCCTCCCGGCAACTTTCCATTGGGTTAGGAAAGGAAGCATCTTTCTCTTACGCTGCCTGATGGGGGAGCTTTTCAAGCCCTCCAAAGTCGACAGGGCTGTTCATTTTAAGTGCTCAACAGCCCGACGTAGCCGGGCAGACCCGGGACTCCTGACTTTGCATCTGTGTCCGACATCAACCATTCCCCAGCCACAGTGGCAGTGAAGGGCTGCAGGCAGAGGGCTTTGCCACTGATGCTTCCTATGCACCTCGTGGCCTGGGCACTTCTGAAAATTCTTTTACTCTTAGCCTTCAGGGTGAGGTCACTTTTGCTCCCAAGGCCAACTACCCCTGGGGATTTCTGAGACTGTAACCGTTTACAGAAGTAGAGAGCCTCATCCATCACCCAAGAAGCAGATAGTGGTTTTGAACTGCTGACCTTGTTTGTGTTTAGCAACCAAACTAATAACCCACTGCGCCAACAAGGCCAGACCTCAGAAGGCAGATAATCACCGAGCCTGGCACAAAGCAAGGTGCTCGGCCTCCATGACTGACAGCAATCCTCATCATCACCACTGGGCGACAGGCAGGGTGACCGCCGGGGCCTACAGCCACGGTTCCTCCTGCAGGGCTCAGGCGGGGCTTCTGAGGTCTCGCTGGGCACCTGCACCTTCATGGCCACCTCCAGGCAGGGTGTGCATTGGTGAAATTGAGTGCTGAGTGGGGGACAGACAGTGCCCGCCTGCCATTTTCAGTCCCACGGAAGACACAAATGTAGCCCTAGCTGCCCCTTGCCTGGCCTCCTGGAGGCTGGTGTCCCCTGGGAACCCAGGACCCCCCAAAGCTGTGCCTCGGGAAGAAAATGAGAGTTTCTAGACGAGCCAGTTTCCAAACCAAAAGTGCCTCCTGGCCGAGGACGGCCAGTTTGAGTTCTCCGGTCACCCCCAGCAGGGGCAGTGGGAAGGTCAGGACGGCTGGAAGTATGAAATGAACGCAGCCTGCATAGCTGTCAGGGATCAAGCTGTCTGCGGCGGCCGACTGACCATGCACACACACACACACACACACTCGGCAGCACCCGGCTAGGCATTACCTACTTCACCACCGATGTAGAAGTCAGTGTTTGTCGGGTGAACGACAGCATCACTGTCGATCGAGGCAATGTCAGCCTGTACAACTTGCAACTATAACAGGTAAACAGATGTGTATCAACTGTGTTGGACCGAGACCCACGCACAGGCACATTTACTAAGGCCCCAATGGCAGGGCTGGCCTACCTGGTCGATTCCAACATATGAGCCCCGGGGGCAACCAGTCCACGCAGTGTGCGCACATGTGGATGGGGGTGAGCGGAGGAGGAGGAGGAGCAGGAGGAGGAGGTGGAGGAGGAGGTGGAGGAGGAATAGCAAATGTGACATGTTTAAAATCAAACAGTTGAATGGCACGTCCAAAAAAAAAAAAGAGAGAGAAACACACACATGAGATCATTTCCAAAGGTTAAAAGAAATAACAAAACAACGAATGCCCGGTTCACTTCGCAAAAGCCGGTAGAAGTGGCACCCCACGGAGAACGACTGAAACTCCGCATCTGTTCTCAGAGAGCGGACACAGCGTGGACCGTCAGGCCAACCAAAACGAGTTTCTCCATTGTGTCTACGGCCTTCGACGGGCAGGCTTCCACTTGTTCCTCAGACGTCCTCATGTTGCCTCCCTGCAAGGGCTTAGCGCCCCTTAAACAGCCCAGGGTGCATGGAGGGCTCCAGGTGGGGGACGGTTTCCCAGGCTCCCGCCTCGTGCCGGGCCAGTCCTACCTCTGGTGTCGTTTGCGTTTAGGGAGGGCTTTATTCGGACCCCTCATGTTGTACAGCTCGTGGGGCTTTGTGTTTTCAGAAGAACATATCTGTGAGAGCCCACTGGAAGGTGAGTGTGCGTGGACCACTGACTGGTACCAGTCCCCACGCTGAGGGCCCACCGCTGCACATGGTGCGTGTGGCGGGCCTGGGCTCTGGACTGAGCATCTCTCCCCGTAAGGAAGCCTGCAATCTCACAAGCACAGAGGAACCGAGCAGTAAAAGGCAAGGCGTGTAAAACATACCAGGTCAGCAACTAAGGGAGGAGACTGCTGCCTTTGTGAGCCCGTCTGCTCTGGGCAGGGGCCATGGGTGCTCATGGGCTGACCGCTCTTTATATGCAGAGATGAAGCCACGCGGGAGGGGCATTGAGAGGCTGCAGTGCTCCGCCGGCCCTCAACCACCGCCCTGGGGAGCAGCCAACACCACAGCTCAGGGCTGTTCTCCTTAGGGACCCAGTGCCACAGTGGTGTAATCAAACTCGGGGGTCGGAGGGGCGGGGCTGAAGCGACCCTCAGCCATGCACCGCAGCAACCGAGCTTTTCTACTGAGGATGTGCTAGAGGTGGTAAATTGGGAGGGGTACAGATTGGCTCGTGGATTAAAGACTGCTTCAAGGTCTACCCATGTAGGTTAATTCGCTCCCTTTCTAGGACGTTCAAAGTTTGAGTGCCACTTCTAATTATGGTTAAATGGAGAAACTATCATTTTTTAGTTACCTGAGATGGTTCACTTCTAAAAATTAAAAACAAAGAAAATCAAACATTAAAGGAAAAAAATTCCCCCCAATGAACCAGCAGTCAGTTTGATCATTATGGAAGAGAATTTAGATGGCGATGTATTTCCAATGGACGGGGAAATAGCCAATCACAGTTTGTGAAGGTCTCTGGACTCTTGGGAAAGGCTTGGTGCAGTGAGCCCGTTTCTGTGCTCACACATCAACGTCTGATGGAGGAATTTGGCTGGATCATGCTAAAGTTTGAAAAGATGAAAGGCCCTAAATTCTGGGTTCCATAAATTTTCATCTGACAGCTGGTGGTGCCAAACCCCATCCCCAATTACCTAGGTCATCTTTAAGGTCAATGTCAGCATTGGTAGGATTGATTATGGCCTCCACCTCAAAGCCGGCTAAGTTACTGATTTCACTGTGAATAAGGTTCAGCTGAAAAGAGAAGCATGCGGTGGGAAATGACAGGACAGCTGGGAAGTCACAGAGAGGGGAGCCACGGGCCATGGACCCTCAGAGCGCAGTGGGCAGGAAAGGGCATCGATACCGCTGCCTAAGACCAACCTACGACGAACCTAGGACTCAAAGGCCGCTCCCGGTGCTGGAAGGAAGAAAGCTAGGCCATGAGTTCAGGACCTGTGGGGTGATGCTTGGGATGAGGCAGGTGAAGTTCCATTCGACCTGGGGATCCAGTTCCCTTTCAGGCACTAGTGATCTGGAGGCCAGACTGAGCCAGATGGCAAGACCTGAATCAAAAGGCTCCTTGCTGAGGGGGGCATGGCGTTTGTGACCATCCTTTTCTTGGGGCACTAGGGTGGTCTGGGTAAACTCCGAGTGGCGCTGCCACTGTCCTCTAAGTGGCTGTGGGTCTGTCCGTCTCTAAGGCTGTCCCCATCACCAGGACTACTGGCTGATTGCCTGCCCTGCCCTCCTCAGGGGTGACAAGGAATAGATTGGTAGTATCTACTTTTACATGCCGACCAGTGGGGCCAGGCTGCAAATCTGGGAAAACTGCGGCAGAGAGCAAGCTGTGCTCTCAGGGGAGACAGTGTATCTCGTGACAGAGGCTGCCCTGAAGCCCGATACCCAGCTTAGCAAGTAGTCCCCTTGGGGGAGTTTTGTCTACTCAACCAACTGCTGGCTCTCTGAAGAGCCACTAAATGGCTTCTCTCCTGCTTTAAAAAATGTTTTGTTGTCATAGCAACCCTGGGGGACCCTGGGGAAGAGAGAAACTTGAATTCTAGATTCTACGGTCGGAGGGGCCAGGGAAATGAACCGGCCTGGGGCTGCGGCTCTGTGTGCTCCGTGGCCTGCTGTTTTCTGGTCTCTCGCTCAGTGAAGATGCTCATCCTTCAGTGATGCAAAGTCCTGACAGCTGCAGCTAAGAGAGATGTCTAGGCAGCCCTCAAAGGGCAGAGCTGGCACCTAAGACAGACTGAGCCAGGCTGGGGAGTTGCCTGCAGCCGCTGTACTCCTCGGTACGTAATTAACTGAGATGTCCATGTGTGGATACTTGGTGGGGGAAATTCTTGGCAACTGCACTCCAAGTTGCTAGACTTTGCCAATCCACAGCCAATCCACGCCAGAGACACTCCATGATGGCACCTCTGATCCTCAGGAGCTGTGAAGGGCCTTTAAAATGGAAGCTTGAAAGCCGTTGTGGGGATACACTAGAGTGACCCCATATGACCAGGCCAGGACTGGTCAGGGGTGGTGGGCCTTGTCCACCTGGGCCTCTGAGTGGTTGGTGCGAGCAGTGCAGGTGGTCTTACGTGGAGGCACAGAGAGGCAAGCCTCAGGGCGAGGTCGCCGTTGCCTCACTGGAGAGTGGCAGGGGTATGTATGATCAGGGTGATAGGTGAACTTTCAGAGCAAGATTGAGAATTTTATTAGATCATTTAAGTATTGTGTTTGACTCCCCTGAAAGTTCTGTTTTAAACAACTCAAGCCAATATTCCCTGCCTTCCCCCATGCCAAAAAAATTTTTTTTAAATCCTACACTGTGTAAGATGGGGCAGCGGCGGGGGCAGTGGTGAGGGGGTAAACTGGGGAGCCAGAAAGGCAGAAATACTTCCTTCAAGGCAGCATGAGTGAGTATACTTTTAAGACCTCCGTCAGGAGTTCTGTCTGTTTTAGGACCAGACATGTTCAAGTCCTCCTTCTAATTCATCCTTTCTCCCCTCTCCAATTATACAGATGTTTCAGGATTTGTCACTAGAAATGCCTCCTTGGAAAACCCACTCTTCTCATGGGTTCCCATTCAAGCAGCCGTGGAAATGCTCCACAGCCTATAGCCAACTCCGTCCTGGGCGCACCACTGCTCAGAGGAATGGGATTCTCTAGGGAACAGTGGTGCTCCCGGCTGTGCTGGATGGACGGGGCAGAAGCCAGCCTCTGGCCTCATTGGTCCCCCATTCTGACCAGCACAGAACAGTGAGCCTCCAGGAGGGACAAGCACTCCGCACTGACCCTCTCCAGCTAGCCCAGCGCTCTGCTATCTCTCAGCTTGAGGAAGCAGCTGGGGTCCCAATCTACCAACTAATTTTTCCTCTGTACTGGGCTCAGCAGAAGTCCTAAAGGTGTGTGTGTGGGTGGGTGGGTGGGGGGGCTGAACCTCAAAACTGTTTGGCTGCTATTAAATATGCACATAAAAATACGTCCATATATTTTAAATCCACTGAGGTAGAAAGTGAGGTGGGTCTGAAGAGGGGAGAAGATGGGTAATTGAAATCACACACGCTGGGAAGATAAAATAGGCCAATGGTTCTCCACCTGTGGGTCGTGACCCTTTCACAGGGGTCACCAGATTCATAACAGTAGCAAAATGAGTTATGAAGTAGCAACGAAAATAATGTTATGGTTGGTGGGGGTTCACACATGAGGAGCTGTGTGAAAGGGTTGTGGCATTAGAAAGTAGAGAACCACTGGTCTAGGCAATGAACTTGACCTGGGCCAACTGTGGGATGATCACCAAAGACAGGAGCTACCTGACAGGAGGAGACAACCCATGACTGCAGGGTGCGCACAGTGACGCCACGTACGCACACGTCTGAAAAGAACCTAAGTTCCCAACAGGTCCCAGATGAAGAGGTCCAATCCTCGGGGCCCCAGGGACCTCCCCACCCTGCAGGTCCAGTTTAGCTGGGCCTCCTGGCTCAGCAGCACTCAGCTGCCTGAGTTCACAGCAAGCAGTGGTCCGGGTGGGTTGGGGAGCCCAATCTCTCTCTGGAAGCTGGAAATTGGCAAGATGAGCCTGGTTAGGGCAGAGGGGAGATCAGATTATTTCAGAATCTGGACAAAATGTTTACTCCTTTGTCCCACCACTGGAAAAGAGGCAAAAATCAACTGGGTTTCAACCACAGCGGTGATGGTTGTTGGCCGCAGGAGAGAGTGCTCCCGGGAATGAAACAAGACTGGGGATCCCAGGGCAGCAGGAGTCGGGAGCAGGGGCCTTTGCTAAACACCCCTTGAGGTCCTTCGCCACTGGAAATGGATTCTTGTACTCTGACCTGTCCACCTCTGACGGCGACCTGACACATGGAGTCCGGTCTGCAAGTGGCAGGTTTGGGTGCCTCTCCCTCCCCCTCAGAATGGAAGGAAGGAGGAAGACGGGCCAGTCCCATTCGACTCTCTGCCTGTCTGTCTCAAAGTGCATTTCAACCAGGGGGGACAAAGCACTGTGTCATCCACAGAGCAGTTTTGCATTTCCTCAGAGAGCACTGTGTTCCCAAAGGGCGAGTTCATCTGTGTGGGGCTGGCTGCCTGGACTTATCCCCAGCCTGAATCCCACGTGGTGGCGGGATGGGTTTCATTTGGGCCAAGCCAGGCCATGCCTCTCAAGGCTAAGACGTGTGTGGGCACTGCCAGGAGAGCCAGCAACTCTGTCTCTTTCTGTGCTTCGGTCTCCTGAGGTGCCTCAGAAGCCAGTCGTCAGCCAGAGCAGTGGAAAGGGGTGAAGGCCCTGTCTCCTCTTGACTGCTTTAAGAGCGTCATGTCCCCACAGGGTTCCCCAGGGCTCAGGAGAAGCGTGTGCATGGGGGAAGAAAGCCCACTTGCTCTGCCTGTGCCTTTAGGGGCCTGAGGGGTTCAGGGGGGTTGGGCAAATACGGCCGACTGCCTACCCAGCTGCTGCAAATGATACTGAATAACAGACTACGATTTGACACCCATTTTTAGAAACACCTATTGTAAGGGTTCCATTTTTGTTTTATGTCAAACCCTCAAGTTTGAAGACCTCTGAAGAAACCGGTGATCTCTGGCAGAACCCCACAAAGCAAACACATGTAGTTGGCTCCAGTTTACAGCACTGTTTCCTGGTTGAAAATGATTCAACAGTGTGTGCACATTAGGCAAAACCAGAAAGTAATGAGAGTGATTACTCCTGAGACCTCGGGGAGTGAAATACAGCATCAAGAACCACAATTAGGTCCTGGGTTCCAAAGCCCTCGGCCTGTGCTCTGCAGCAGGTCGCCTAGCAATGGGGCCTTCCCAAGTTGTGCTGACTTGGGGTCACCCTCCGCCACCCTCGGCTGGCCTGGGTGAGTCAAACCGGGGTTTCAGTGTCACGGGTGGAGAAACAAGATCCCTAGAACACAGGGCACTGAAGTCCGAGTCGATATTAACGTCTGTGACAAGGACCTTACAACAGGCTTTGTGTACAACGGGTGTGCATTGCCTCTTCTCGGGGTTGGGGGTCTTGGCCCACTGAGGAGGAAGAGCACTGCGGCAGAAGAGCCGTCTCAGGGTAGCATGGGCATGGTGGTAGGGGTGGACCGTCTGTCCTGCATTTAGCGCCTCTGCCATCAGTTGACCATTGTACAGTGGCGGCAGCTCAACCAAATCCTTCGGATTCTCATTCTGGAAACGGAGACGTCAGATGGGCATTAGTTTCCCTGTGGGGCCCACGTGCTTCATTTGCCTTTGTGTTTCTAAGTAGCAGTGGACAGCGTGTCCATGAGAAGTTAGGAGGCTCTCAGTCCTTTCCTGGGGCTGCTGGATACCATGCCTGCCCTGGCGTGCGTTCTCAGTGGGGGACAGTCACTGTTTCCCAGGTCTGTGCTTTATGGGGCTTTCATTCCCATGGGGCTTGAACCAGAGGAGCTGGTGCTGCCTCTGAGGACGACCGCTGGCCTGTGCCCTGCTCCACAGAGGAGCCAGCAAGCAGCCAGCAGCCTTTGCCTACCTCCCCTCCGGGGCTCCCAGGCCGTAGGGTGTAGACAAGACAACCACCCATTTAGGCGGACAAGGGCCTCGCCATTTGTACAGGGACATTTATCTGTGTGGCTGGGAGGTTTGAATCACCAACCTTTCTGTTAGTAGCCCAAAGCTGGCCCTCCCATGCCCCCCGGGGCTCTGGTTTGTACAGCAGAGCCCTGCTACTTTGGAGGCATTTGGGCTCCTTCAGCAAGAAGCGTGTGAGCCATTCTGGTTTGAGGCTGGCTTTGGAGAAGCAGCAAGAGGCGGCAAGGTGAACACTGGAAAGGGAGAAGCCAGGGCCTAGCACTTCCCTGAGCGAGAAAAAGAGAGCTGAGGGAGTGGAAGTTAGTTTAAGGGGTTCCACCTACCTCCCAGGCCTCCAGTCCTGGCCAGCGTCTGCATTAAGGATCTAGGACACTCTCAAGCTAGCTCTTCCTACTAAGTAGCAGGGGGTTTGCACTCGTCAACTCAAATCAAAGCATTTTGGACGATAGGTCATGTTAACGTTCAATACATTATACAAAGAACACGTCAAAGGGGGGTGTGAAACTGGACCCAGGTGGTTGCCATCACTGCTGAGTTAAAAAAAATTTTTTTAATGAATAACATTTTTTAATAAAAAAAAAAAAAAATCTTTCAAAGCCCCAGACCTTAAGATGACAACTAGTTCTATTTTTTTCTTTTGAAAAATGCATACAAAATACAGAAAATGGTTATAAAATGTAAACTGTAATGGTTATTTTCTGGAACACAGAGGCCATCACAGGAAT